TTCCCTAACGGAGACGAGAGACAATACGCCTGAAGCCCGTTTCATCATCGGTGTATTTAGTCGCTCAGGGACGTCATTTTTGCTCAGAAATGTAATTAAAGAGAATGTCAATCGTCTCCTCATTCAAAATGTCTTCGTGCTGTTGCAACTCGTCACTTGAGAGCTGCATGACGCTCGACTGGCCCAGCGACCAAGCAGAAGATCCACCTCCAGCCAGCCACGTTGTTTACTGCGGTAGATAATGCGTTTGCGATTCGCCTCGTCCACGTCGACCTGATGCTCACCCTGACTCGAGACGGGAAAGTCGCTCTTGACGGCAAAGTGGTCCGCGCGGATAGCAGCGCTACGTTCTAACGCCTTCTTTGCCTGCTCCTTGGACATACTATGCACAAATGCATTGTTATCGACGTCCGTATTGGTCGACAGCGAGCGTTGGAACGTCGGAAGATGAAAGCAACCACGTGTGGCCGCAACGATCCGAGTTCGTGCGAAGTTCATTTCGGTTTTTACAATAGCGTTTGATTGGGGAGGGAAGAAATTCGAATCTAACGTTAGAAACGTACGTTTTGACACCAATTCAATCGTCTTACACCAATTGAATCGTCTTACACCAATTCAATCGTCTTACATACATTCTTCGTTTCTACACTATTTCTAACATAAACTAAATCAATCCAAAAAAGATTGAATCATGGAGTGGGGTCCATTGGAGCCGATTTTATCGCTATTACTACCTGAAGAAGGCGTAAACGACGGCATTGTGGATCGTAAACAGACGGATACTACACTAGCGCATGCTCTGAGTGGAGAAGAGCTCACAGCAGCGGTGCGTTTGGCTTCAATCGATCAATTAGACACGGCGCTCAGTCACGAGGTATTAAATGTCGAACGACTGCCTCTGAGTGTTTTATTACTATTGTGAGTATATAACAATGAAGAGGTAATGAAAAAAATATTCGAGATAAGAATAACATTTTGTTGTCATTATTCCTATTCACAGGTCAGCTAAAGCCACCAAATGGGAGCATACAAACCACCAAGAAGAGTCGATACATGACCAAATGAAGTTTTTACTACAACTTTCACAACTTTTATACCAAATTCCAGTGGCTTTAGCTGCGAAGGAAATCAAGAGAGTCAGTGTTTTGGCCAATCAGTACACGAAACTGGCTATTGATACGCAACAGAGTATCAAGACCATTTTTCCACTCCAGAGCTTCCTACGTCGTTTCCATCAGCAAGGCCATGCAATTCTTACGCCATTACATGCTCACTTTTTTTATTTATGTCTTCATGCTAAATGTTACTCTGCAGCTATGGAAATTCTGGACGAGTAAGCAGTTGTTTCTCTTTTATTCCGGATGGGGGAAGTATAACAGAACAGAGTATTTTGGATATTAATTCTTGTATATGTCTTTCTCTTTTGATAATAATAATTTTGATAGAGCGTTGGTGGAAATTCAAGCCCAGTCACATGTGGTAACTTCGGTGGACTTTTTAGGCTATGCGTACTATGGAGGACTGCTCTATCTAGGAGAAAAACGATATCAGGACGCACTTGATTTCTTCCAACTTGCCATTACAGCTCCTGCTGTGTCACTTAGTGCCTTTGTAATTGAAGCATACAAGAAACTATTGCTCGTGACACTCATTCTACATGGTGAAGCAGTAGTGATGCCCAAGTACACGCCATTTGTAGTCACGAGAAACATTGAAAACCACTGCACGGCGTATGCTACTCTAGCCAACGCTTTTGTCGTTGAAAAGGACTTTGCGGCGGTACAAGCAGTCGTTACAAAGAACGAAGAGCTATTTATTCAGGACGGCAACTGGGGGCTTGTGAAGCAGGTCGTACAGGCATTCAAACAGCGGAAGCTTCTTCAACTTACTCGCACATACGCGACTATTGAGCTTACGAAAATTGCGACAGCTGCCGGAATGTCCAACAGCGATGCGGTGGCCGCTGAAAAGATGCTGTTAACTCTTATATCCAATGGTCAGATGGATGCTGTGATTGATAAGCAGAAAGCCATGGTGCGTTTTGTGCACGAGAATGAAGATGGCGGCGCTTACCAAGACGAAGTGCAAAGTGAAGCTTCAAAAAGGCTGCAAGACGAGATGAAGAAACTCGTAGTAGTTGCATCGCAGCTACGCGTCATGGATACGGAACTCGTCACGAGCGCCAAGTTCCAATCTCGCTTACAGAAAGACAAGGATCGGCGCTCGAGGATTCACATGCACAATCAGCAAAGTGATGAGCGACTGACCGTTGATGCTGCTAGCGGCATGGATACGCTGGAATAAGCAGCAGTGCACAGGGTGATGTTATACAGCTCATTTACAATTTGCGGTAATGGTTTTACGGACACGAGATAAACGGTTGAAACAATTTAGTTTCTAAGATATAAACTCTACTACTGCTCACAACTATTTTCAAGGATCTCACTGCATGACAAGAGCCAGCTGAATCTTGCGTTGGCGCACCAGCGATACCGGGTTCTTCATGCGAATTACTCGGCACAATGCAGAGTTACCGGCGTTAAACACGCGATAAATGCAGTATGTCGAACCATGGATTGCTGCTTGATCCAGCTCATTCATACTAATCTCGAACACACCCTTCTCCGTCGTGCGCGTGGACTTGACCTCAATATACTCCACTACTTTATTTCCTGATGACAGCGTGAGGTCGTACGGGAGACCGGATTCCTCCTTTTCGTTCACCCACTCGACAATCAGGTTTGACGCACTGTCAGCATGCTGCTGCTTCAGTTGGTTATACACATACTCCTCACCCCAGCGACCGATAGCCTCTCGTTCCTCCTTCGACATCGTGTTCGACAACGACAGAGATTGCATCCCTGTACCAAAGGATGATGAAGGGGGTAGCGGTGGATAATGCGGAGCTCTGTCAGCACTTCCGTTTGCTGGTGGAAGGGGCAGGTACGAAGGTCTTTGCATCTGCATGTCATAGCTTTCCCCATTTCCAGCCGTGCCGTAGTTTGTTGGTGCGAACGGAGGCAACGAAGTATTGTACGTTTTGTCATTTTGCAGTGGAGCATAGTGTTTCTTCGTCGGACCATCTTCTGCAGCAACCTCGCCATCTTCAAAGTCTTTCGACGTTCGCTTTCGATTAACATTGTTAGCAGTGGAAGATGTGGTAAATTGCTCTACCCACAAACTTCCAGCTTCACTGGCAGGAAATGGAGGCAAAAGCTGGGTCTGCACTAGCCACTGGTCTCTCAATAGAGAATTAGGCTGCAACAAACTCAGATACAGCAAGTTCGCAACGCTAGAAGCCACTTGAGTACCAAAAAGTTTACGACAGAGCTCCATTAAGACCACAGAGAGCGCACTTACTTCTTCGTCTCCTGTCACAGATTGCATATACAGGGTATTTTTCGAGACATCGAGGAAGCATTGTGACAATGCATCAGCTCCACGGCGAAGACTGAACGAATTTCCAACTCGATACACCACTTGAAACCCATCGTGACCATCAACCAAAACACACTGAAGCTCGGACGCAAGCTTTGCTATCGATTCATGATGGAACTGATCATACAGATGCCGGTGGGTGTGGAATAGGAATCGCTGGGCCAGAACAAATGCAGTGCGAATCTTTTCATGAAAAGCCTCACTTGCAAGATGCTGCGTACTAAGGACACTGACTTCGTATTGCAAGTGCTCCTTAAGCGACTTCATACCACAATACTCGGTGAGAAACTTGCGAACCCGAGTCGCCTCGCTACCTCTGTCTTCACTTGCTGGATTGTCCACGAAATAGTTCCACGAAAACAATCCAAGTACTTTCAACTGTCCAGCTAGTCCTGGTTGTTGTAGATCTTGCTTGGACAGCTCGGTTTGGTCATTGATATAGAAATTGGTAGCGGATACCCATTGCTGGTTGTCATCAACCGTTGGAAAAAAGATGAAATGTTGCACATTCCGCTGGATCTCCTGTTCGCCAACAACCGAAGATGAAGACGAGCAAAATACATTTGCCCAGGCTTTTACCAAAAGCTGTTCAAGCTTCAGTAATTTCTTCCTACCTTTTTTGCGATCGAGCTGAGTAGATTTTGTAAAGCGAGCAAATATCTTACACCAGGAGCTTGCATGGGCCCCGAGGTGGGCAGATACTGTCGATATTTTTGCAAAACCGAGCAGTGCGTCCAGAACGCCGTTGTCCGTGAAGGCATCAAGCTGAACCATTTTGACATCCTCTCCGTCCTTGTTCTTTTCGTCTTCGTATAGGCTGACATCATGGTCTGCGGAAATCTCCGTAGTGAGAGACAACATCAACTTCTGCAGCTTCTTTTCGTTCTCCGTCGTCGCTAATACAGGCTGGTCTTTTAATCTACAAAACACTAGACCATTTTGAAATCCATTCATGCATCGTGCTGGCAGCCAAGGAGCTGACTTTATAGTCTTCCTGATCGTCTTAGTCTCTTTCTTCGACAGCGAGCGCTTTTTCACTTTCTTGGCTAGTGCGCACAGAAGTGGTAACAGCTTTTTTTTCCACAACTTGGTTTTCTCGGACGCGCTCCGTTTGTTGCTACCATGAGTGCTCAAGAAGGATGCTTGTCTAGTGATCATTTCACACAAGAATGAGATCGATGGTTTTCGTTGTACACCGCATACCTCAGTGAAGAAGGCGGATAATGTCTTCGGATACTGGGTCTCTAGCGAAAACAGCTCTCCGTTGTGCGCTGTCGATGACCATACCGCATTCTTTATACCAGCGAAGTGGTTTCGAGTTTCCTTTCCTGATGTATGTGCCTCAGCTGGAACAAACAGCATCATTTTGCACGAGAACGCTTTCATGATTTCGTCACGATAAGCATCAGACTGCTGACTTTGTTCCCACAAGAACGTGTACATTCGGATCATTTGGTCAATTTCTAGTGCATACACCAACGTTGAGTCAACAGAGAGACTCGAGATAGTTGAAAGCACATCAAACACAGTTGCGTCCGCTTTCATACCAAGGACCCGTTCGGAGAAATCTTTGTTCTTCCACGTCATTGTGGCGAACGTAACCATGGCCGGTGTGAACAAACGAGTGATCGTCTCGGTCGACAAATATAGATCAATCGAGCGGTGAAAGTTCCCATCGGATCCTTCCAGCCAGTTGTTTTGACGCCACCAGTCAAAAGTATCCGCCTGATTGCTAGTGGTAAAAGCAGAATCAAAGCTTTCGGAGTTGAGTTTACTCTCGTTTGCTCTCCAGTGTTTGTCCAAGTGCTCTGCCAAATGCTTGGAAATATTGCGTTTCACGGCAATATCATCCTCACCTTCGATCCACTCGAGAACCTGCTTCATTCCTGCCTGTGAACATGGGTCTAAGATGAGACTTGCAGTGTCAAACAGTAGAGGCAACTCACAAACATCCACCAGCAACTCCTGCCATTTTTTATCCACCGAGTTCTTCAACACCATTTCAGTCTTGCTATCGTTGTCGGAAAAATATTCGCCTGACACAATACCAAAAGCGCTTTCATCTAGCTTGGAAGTCTTCGTCTTCGTTGTGATCCACGAAACTAGCTGGGACATATCCTTGAACGTGGATGGCAGGACTACGAACACGTTAGACACGCCAACGGTGAGAACGCGACCGTCGGTCGCTGCAACAACCATGTTGGCTTTCACATCTGCGTGCATCGGACAATTTGAGCAAGAGACCAGATGCGACGATAGAAACTGCCCGTACTCAATCACCACCCTGACGTCCAGCTCTGCAGTATTACAATCGCTCAAATCGTCAGTAGGTGAACGCAACATCGTCATCTTCGGAAAGATATGGTGCCGAATCAATTCGTGGTCTTCCATCACGTGGATGCCCACATCATTTGTCAGGAATGTCCGTAGCTTCGGGCTCTTGGAAACAGCCTGCGTGAATCTGTCATCCAGAATGCGAAGGTCTCCGTAAAATTCGTACGATTCTCCACGACTGGAATTAGTGTCGCCCGCTTGGACACCAGATACAAAAAGTGTGTCGTGGCCTTCAGCTAGCGATATCCACCTAATATTACCGTCCATGCTGCGCCTTTGTTGAAGCGGGAAGCACTTAATTAACCGAAGTTCCTGCCAAAGTAATTTAGAATGGCAGTCCTTTCGCCAAAGCTTTGTGAGAAGTGCAAGAATCTTCACCGTCCAGTGGATGTCATTCATTTTCGCCGATAGCGATAAAACCCGCATCAAATGAGATGAATGAAGCTGCTCAATCCGTAGCTGCTTTTTCATCGATATCGGCATGTCTCGAGAAAGGGCAGGATGTAGGAAGCGCTTGTTAAACGTCGACGTTATGACGTCTTCGCTGAGAGCTCCCAACAATGCTGTCATGTTTCCACTGACTTCGTTCCCCGTCAACTCCACACAATCAATCAAGTCTGATGGCATAAGCAGTTTTTCCACGGATGAAGATGGCGTAAAGAAAGCACCGGCTAGCCACTTTACTTGGCGTAGCTCACGCATAATCTCCGGAATTATGCTCCGGAAAGGAGCTTGCACCTCGTTTTCGAGAGGCAGTAGCGAAATTAAGTGTGAGATTGCAGCAATTACGTTTTCGCCGCTCATTTGACCGTCGCTCGTTTCGTCTTTTTCAACCGTGAAGATGTAGTTGCTCACGGCTGCGCGTACAAGCGGTGGGAATTTGGATACAAGCCACTCATTCCACTCACTTCCGTTTGTAATAGCTTCTCTTGAGCTCGGAATTTCAAAGTCTCCCTGTAGAATAAATCGGAACCCATAAGACCGCAGTGGCAAGTACGCAAAAACTTGTTGAAGTGGTGGTCGGTCGCTTCGCTCGCTGGAATCCTTTTGATGCCCTGCAACAGGAAGCGCAAGCGCTATCTCGGTCGGACGGCCATGAGTGAATAACGGCGGCGATTCCAGTTTCGCCTTCACAACCAGCCAGTTTTGCTTCACCACATCCACGCTATTCTCGCTTTTCTTTACTCGTGAAAGCAGCTGAACAATAAGCGTGTTTGGTTGCAACTTCTTCTCTCTCTTAAGAAAGTGAAGCGTGTGCTGCCGAGCCAAATCGCGAAGGCGAAGCTCGCGAATACGTCGAAGAAAGAGCAATACAGACGGCTCGAATGCCAGGAGTGACTGCGAAATTTCATCCACCCTATGCATTGATGTTTCGTTCAACGGTAACACAAATGTCGTACCACGACGCTGTTTCCACTGAGTGGTGTCGTTTAGCCAGTACGGCAAGATATACCCCATACCATTGCCGTGCTGCGAAGTCTTCGCGTGAAAACAAATGTGAAAACCGTTCGAATGTACCTGCGGGTTGTCGGATACCTTGAATACGCTCTTAAAGCCAATACCTTTTTTGCCTATACTTGCCTCCGAGCTTATTGCCGCCTTCGTAGATGCACCCACATCACATATCGCTTGAATATTTTCTGGTGAGAATCCCCGTTCATTGTTGTAAAAGACAATTTCCTTGTCGGCTGTCAACGAAAAATCACCAAGTGGAATCACAGCATCGTCATAAGCGTTATCATCTGCGTTCTGCAACAGCTCGAGAACGAAGTGTGTGCTCTCGCTGTAGAGCTCATCGCTAAGCCGCTTGAGTGCACGCTCCAGCCGTTGCTGCTGAATTAGCAGCACTGATGTCGTTGCCTCGTCATGAATTTGAAGTCCAACGCCAAACTGCTTCTTACGCAAGTCTTCAATAAACAAATGACGCGAATTAGCGCTAGTCAAGCTCTCAGTAGAGGGCCCATCTTCAATATCTTGGTCAAGTAGCTCGTTTGAGAAGCTGGCCAACGCCACTTCAGAATCAGAAGTGTCCAGGAAGTTAGATGTCATGCTGTCATCTTTGTCATTGCTATTGCTTGCATCAGTCGGAGATGCAGACTTGGTCTCAGTCACATCTCTACCGGTACCAGTAGAACCACCAGCATCATCCTCCACGACCGCAACCGTCAGGTTCTCACGCATAGTGCGCCACTGCTCCGTTTGGTTCGCCCACAGCGGCGACGAGCTTCGGTTAGATATGAACACAAGGGCTTTTCTTTCAGCATCGCTGTGGCAAGCCTTCCAGATCTTATCTGCAGTGCCCCAATCGTTCGAGAACCCCGGCCCATCCTGTCCGACTATACCTAATAGTAACGACATGATGCATTCTGCAAACTCGACCGGCGTTTCCATAAGCACCTCCAAAACAAAGCGAGGTCGCCAGCTGTCAGCCATCCAGTCCTTGGCGAAGCTCAACAAGTGAGCACGTAGATGAGCTTGAACAAGTTGCTTCGGGAAATTTGCTTGACTCTTGCACGTCACCATCATCGACACTAAGTGAACTGCCACTTGGCTGGCGGCAACAAGGGTTTGCTCTTGTTGAGCTCGTGCAAGCAACAATTCGAGATCAGACGGTGTCGATTTCTCATTAACACGCAAAATCGTTCCGTCTAAACAGCACACAAACATACAGTTGTTTGACGGTGCATGATCAAGTAAAATCATTTCATGCACACGAATAAACGAGAGCAATGACCCACACATAGGAGCATACCGCTCGTGCCAATCCATATAAAGCGATACATCAATCAAGTACGGACATTTGCACAATTTTTCAAGAGCTTGCTCCGTCAAGAACTGCATGGACTCACCTGTTGCACCTTCCCGCGTGACTGCGACGTCAAAGCTGCCGCTGCCATGGTTAAGGTCCAAACTGCCGATGTACTTGATTATCGAAGTCGCTTCTTCGTGAGGTTGCTGATCCACGAGTCGAACCAGTTCTTCAGCACTCGGAAGTTCACGCTCTTCCGTGCGACTGCATCCAAGCTGCACGGAAACTCGGTGTGTTATCCATTGGTGTTGCTTTTCACTGGAAAGTGAAGACAACGAAGAAGATGAAGAGATGACAGCGCGGCATTCTCGAACAAATGGCATCACTTCTTCTAGTAGGCGCTTTTCGCTGATAACTTTCAGTGAGATCGCGTCGTTATCACTCCTTTCTGAAGAACGCATAAGGCTACGCAGCCACGTGCTTGCACTGGTTTCGTCTTTGCTATGTGCGTCCTCCGTGTCGCTTAGGATATGAGACAATAGTTCTAGTACGGATCGTCGTCCCGCCCAAGAAACACTGCTGCACGTGACCGAGAACTTGCTAATCAAGTGGTTTTCGAGGGACGACAACACCAAAAGCACGTCTTTCGCTGTATGCGGCTGATTGTCACGTGATTGTTGAGAGCTCAAAAATCTCTCCACCTCGGTTGTCACTTCTTCAAGCGTCACAGTCACTTCTGGGATGATTTTTCCTAGCCTGCTGGCAAACGAGTCTGTCGGCATAACAGGAAAACTGCCAACGTTGCCAGAGGTTTCCGGTTCCACATCTACCTTTGCTGCCTTGTCTTGACAATCGCTATTCTCGTCTTCTTCATCACTCGACTCCACATGGCATTTGCAAGTACAAGGACAGGTGCAAGAGTCCTTACCCACACAGCAACAATCACACTCTTCCTTGTCACTTTCAGCTAGTTTATTGGCAGCCTTCGGCTTGTCCTCTTCTATGCCGTCGTCATCAGGGAGTTTGTCATCGCTTAGTAGCAAGGCATACGTCTTCGCCATGATACTACAGATGACCCAAGTTATCACCTTGAGCCTCGAGTGATGCCTGCTTTTTTGTGATGACACTAGAAATCGTGTCAACTGATTGCGAAGTTTCGAATCGGTCTCTGCAATCTCCTGCGATGAAATGGGTTTGACAAACTTCTGTTGGCTAGTTGCATCCGCAGCAGCTTTACGACGCAACATATTGTCTAGATACACGTCAACATCAGTGACACGCTTGAGCATGTCTAACGAGAGTGATTGCATGCTGCTTTTCTTGCCTCTACGTCTTTTATGCGACTCTTCATCATTCTCCTGTTGACATAAGCGTACATTGGTTTGCTGCAGCAGGTCGTCCAATGCTTGTTTTCGATTATCATCACTGAATTTCTCCTTGGTGAGTCGAAACATTTTTTCAGCCACTTCAGATTGAAATTGTTTCTCCAATGTCTTGATCTCTTTCATTTCATGATTCCCAATGCGACGCAGCATACCGACATAAACTCCAAATCCAGATGGATCAATGATGACACCCATTGTTTGTAAACTTGGTTGTCTATACTGTTGAGCTAAAAAGTGAGCAAACTCATGCAAATCAATATGTGAAGACGCTCGAAATGCATCATGAACCACCATGTCTTCAAATTGACGTAAACAATTCAATACGTCTTTGGTTGTAATGTTCATTACAGCAACAGGTGAATGATAAAAATGTTGGACTGCTTCAGTATGTAAAAAAGAATTTCCAAGCTTCAGTTCGTGAAACGATTGAAGTCCTTCTTGTTGTAAAAAAATTCTTGACATTCCAAGAGCGTATGAATCCGACGACTTTGGATGAAACAAGTAACAAATGTCCACACCCGTTGATTTACAGTATGTAACTGTTTTAGTATGGGTAATTGTAATGGACTGATGCCCATCAAGTCTTCAAATGTATTGACATCTAGAGTATTATACATGGAGCAATCATTAGCATACAATCTAAAATGTACCGTAACATATATTTGTATATTCAACGTACGGAAATGATTGCAAATAGCTTGGACCACGACGTTTATTGTCAGTGCATTCGGTGGTGCTGCAAGACTCGACTGATTTGCTCGTAACTTTTCAATAAAAGCTACAACCTCTTTTTGTCGAGGTGGTGCATTAACAGTAGCTCTCAATTGTTGATAGACTTTTGACTGAGAACGTGGATAGAAACTTTGGGATTCATTGGGGTGAGACTCGAGCGTCGAGTTATGATGATAATATTGATGTTGTTGCTGTTGGAAACGCTGCCAATTATTATTATGATTATTATTGCCACGACCGCCAGAGGATTGATGCATGGATAGAGGAAGAGAGAATGGTCAGATGTTACGGTTGAATATTGGGTGGTTACGGTTGAATTGGGTGGTTATGAAACTACGTGTGACTTGAAATCGTGTCCAGTGGTCGGACATATTAAAACAAAGAGGTTATGTCAATATGTATCATTTGAATATATTGTCCGAACAGACACAAAATATGTACTCACTGACAATTGTCGTACATTTTTGAAACTCTACTATCTATGACCAAGTATAGTCCATGTAGTATTGATCCTACCAAAAGGACGATGGACAAACGTACTACCTACCCTTCTCAGCATGTAGAATGCCAATTCACAGCACCTTTATCTACTTGGTCTTGGCATCTCGGGCACTTTTTACTTCGAGATACGCCCATTTGATCCACGGTAACAAAGCTTCCAAGTCTTTGGTCTCTACCGTAGCACCACACCAGATACGCAGTCCAGGTGGTGCATCTCGATACGAACCCACGTCATACGCAACTTGTTCACGCTCGAGCAATACTTGCATTTGCTTCACTTCGTCCTTTGATAGACCGTCAATTAGCAGGCATACGGACGTACTGGAGCGAATCTCTTTCTTGGCTGCGAGGAACTTGAACCATCTCGAGTTATCGGCTGCAAACACTTCAAGCACCTTTAAATTACGCTGCGAGATTGCAATCAGTCCGTCTTGACCACCCACGCTCTCTGCCCAACGCAGAGCATCAAGATAGTCCTCTACACACAACATCGACGGCGTGTTGATGGTGCTACCCTCAAAAATCCCTTTTAGGAGCTTGCCTGTACTGGCGTTGGTCATGCGGAAGATCTTAGGAAGTGGGCGGTTCTCCGGCACGAACGACTCCAAACGCTCCACAGCGCGTGGACTCAATATTACGACACCGTGGCCGCCTTCGCCACCAAGAACCTTTTGCCAGCTAAACGTGCACACATCGATTTTGTTCCACGGAATGTCCATGGCAAACGCAGCTGACGTAGCATCGTTAAAGATCAGACCCTTGCGGTCGTCTGGGATCCAGTCGGCGTTGGGAACACGGACGCCACTAGTCGTGCCATTCCACGTGAACAATACGTCGTGGTCACAGCTCACTTGAGAGAAGTCTGGGATCTGGCCAAACGGCGCACCAAACTCTCTCACGTTGTCAAGCTTTAGCTCAGTCGTAACATCCTTAAACCACTGCTTGCCAAATGACTCCCAGTAGCACACATCCACGGGACGCTCGCCCAACATGGACCACATTGCCATCTCGAATGCGCCTGTGTCTGAAGCTGGCACGATGCCAAGAAGGTAGTCCTCCGGGAGCTTCAGAATCTTCTTCGAACGCACAATGGCTTCCTCAAGCAAGCCCTTGCCCAGCTTGGAACGGTGACTACGGCCTAGAACAATGTCAGGTATGGAAGCCAGCGAATATCCCGGCCGCTTCTTGCAAGGTCCTGAGCCAAAATTCGGTGATGCCGGCTTTACGCGTGGCTTCGGGTGACGCACGATCTCTACTCCAGCGTCAACCGCGTTGGTTTCTTCCTCAGCAGAGCTCGCACTCGGCTTAAGGAACTTCTCCCATATACCACCCGAGACAGCCGTGTCCAGCTCGAGCAGGTTCACGCGGCGAAGATTAGTGAGCATGCCCAGTGCTTCGAGCTCCTCCATAACGGCATCTGGAATAGCCTCGTCCACATTGAGCACGCCGACAGCAGCGGTGCCATGTTCTTCACGCGCCAGACCGAAACAACCGATATTAATCTTGTGTTTCGCTAGCACCGACGTCACCTTGTGCAGCACACCAGGCTGGTCAGTGTTGTTGAACAACAGCATTGATCCACTCGGAATCGCATCCATAGGCAGATCGTCAAAAGACACAAAGCGCAGCTGGTTCTTGCCGAATACCGTACCCGTGATCTTCTTCGATGTGCCGTTCTCTTTCTCAAAAATGACAGTAAGCTGGTCCGAGAAGCTGCTGCCAGAGGCTTCATCGTGCTTGTGCTCCACAGTCTGAATGCCCATGACGTCAGCAAGCTGTTTTGCGTTCGTAAACGTCACCTCCTCCTCCAGCATGTGCGATAGCAATCCCTTCATCACGCCTTTTACTAGCTGCCCCGACAGTTCCGACGACGTAACCTTAGGCCCCTCCGCGATGACAAGTACGCGCTTAAGACGACTGTCGTCTAGCAACTGCGCCTGCATACTACCAAGCTTTTCCGCAAGTGACAGCAAAGGCATGAGCTCCTCGCGCCTGTCGAAATCAATGTTTGGCGCGTTGACCACGCCCTTGTAAGACTTGCCTGCGAGAGCGTCATTCACCTTGTAAGCCAAGTCACGTGCCACCTTTTCCTGTGCGTCAGTAGTCAACGCACCAATGTGCGGCGTAACAATCACATTCTCGTGATTCACGAGTTTCTTCCAAGTCTCGGACGGAGGCGACGGCGTGTTGATATCAAAGGCCATACCCGCAACTTTGCCACTCTCAATAGCTTCCAGCAGCGCTGGGTGGTCGATCAGACCCGCCCGAGCTCCATTCACTAGCTTGACACCGTCTTTGCAGAGCGCGAGACGTTGCGCATTCACTAAGTGCTTGGTATTGGCATTAAGTGGGACATGGAGAGTGATGTAGTCACTGCGGGAGAAGAGTTCATCCAACGAAACAGGCTCAATGCCGTGCATCTTGGCACTAGCATTGGACAGAATAGGATCGTAGCCAATAATGTTCAAACCAAAAGCATTGCATCGTGCAGCCACTTCTCGACCAATGCGGCCAAGACCGACGATACCGAGCGTTTTACCGTGGATTTCCGAGTGACGGACGACTAACTCCTCCATGTCAGTGGCCTTGTCAAGTCGAGAGACGGCAGTAATGAGCCCCAATGTGAGCTCAGCGGCCGAAATGGTGTTGCCAAAGGGCGTATTCATGACCAGCACGCCCTGTTTCGTAGCGTTTACCATGTCAATGTTATCCACGCCTGTGCCAGCGCGACCAATGAGCTGCAACTTTTGTCCAGCATCCAGTACTTGTCGATCCACTTTAGAGCCGGAGCGAACGATGAGCACGTCGTAATCAGGCACCTGCGTAATCAATTCAGTGTGGGAGAGACCCGTCGAGTCGCATGTAACGTCGTGACCGGCAGCACGTAACAGTTCCGGGCATATGGGATCAATGGGATCACTGCAGAGGATACGCGCCATCATGGCAGATGAAGATTGGTGGAAACTGCGCGTGATTGGCGGCTGGTGCGTGAGCAAGCGAGACCCGCGCGTCCAGAGAATACGACGCAACATGGAGCTGCTTGTGGAGACAAATGAGACTTTCCAAAGTGATTGGTGCTGGAAAGGGAGATTCATAAAAAATGCCTGCATAGTACTATCATTGTTTTGTACAACGTGATGGATACCCCTTTGCTAATTGCTTTCATCTATTCTTGCTTTAACCAATTGATACCTCTCAACAAGCTGTATGCAGCATTCTAACAAGCTTGGATAGTTTACACGTTGTTCAGAGCAGCTACACCCGGAAGCACCTTGCCCTCGAGCAACTCCAGGCTAGCGCCGCCACCCGTGGAGATATGGCTCATCCTAGAACCAAGACCGGCTTGCTCGACAGCGGCCACAGAGTCACCGCCTCCGACGATGGTGGTGACGCCGTTATCCGTACTCGCCGCAAGAGCCTCAGCCACACTGATCGTACCTTTAGCAAAGTTGGGAAATTCAAAGACACCCATGGGGCCATTCCACACAACAGTCTTGCACTCCTTCAGCTCCTTTGCAAACAAGGTCTGTGAGTCCGGGCCAATGTCCAGACCCAACCAGTCGTCGGGGATAGCGTTAGCGGGTACAACCCTCCACTGAGCATCTGCATCAAACTTGTCAGCAATCACGACGTCAGTGGGGAGCACAATATGCACCCCGCGTTTCTTGGCCTCGTCTAGAATCTCCTTAGCGAGCTCGACCTTGTCTTCCCCAATGATAGATTTGCCTACGTCTAGACCTTGGGCTTTGTAGAACGTGAAAATCATGCCACCACCAATCATAATCTTGTCACACTTTTGCAGCAAAGACTTGAGCACGGGAATCTTGGTAGACACCTTGGCACCGCCAATGATAGCACCCAATGGACGTACGGGGGTGTCCACTGCACCGGACAAGTACTTGAGCTCCTTCTCAATCAGAAACCCTGCCACGTTGGTTTTGATGTAATTGGTCACACCTTCCGTAGAAGCGTGAGCACGATGAGCCGTACCGAACGCGTCATTGACGTAGATATCAGCACCGTGAGCGAGCTGCTTGGCAAACTCGGGATCATTCTTTGTCTCTTGTTTGTAAAAACGAACATTCTCGAGCAGCACGATCTCGCCGTCCTTAAGCGCTTCAATGTCTACGTCCACCTGTGGACCGACGCAGTCGTCTAGGTTTATAATGGGGCTACCAAGTAGCTCACCAAGACGTGTGGCTACGGGCGTAAGACGGAGCTCATTCTTTGTCTCACCGTCAGGACGGCCCAGATGCGAGCACAACACCGTGCGAGCACCCGCATTTTGAAGCAGTTTGAGTGTCGGTAAGACGGCACGGATACGCGTATCGTCCGTGATAATAGCGGGCGTTACATTCTTCTTAAGCGGCACGTTCAGATCAGCACGCACTAGTACGCGTGCCCCTTTGAGGCTCTGACGCTGCGCCAAATTCTCAAGACTGAGCTTGGATACGCTCATTGTACGCGCTATGAAGCTAGATGGACACGCTATTTGCATGCTCATGGCACGTGATAGATTCAGCATCTTGACGGAAAGTAAAAGAAGAGGAAAGAGACTTGTGCAATTGAGACTTGATGAAGGAATACCAGTGACGACACTAAGCAGTAATTCTGCTTGGAAAAGGTGATGGGCACAAGAAACGCATAGGCTGTACGTTGATCGGATTGTATAGGGTAACAACGGATACAGGTAACTGATAGACTATGTTTCCTTATAGATATGACACTGTAATGTATACAATATGCGTGGGTATTGATATTTGAAGTACTATTTTAAATCAAATATGATATTAGGGAGCTGTTCAATGATGATTGATACGCGTGTCGCGACGGGCTTTCATGATTAACGAACATGTCAATCACATGTATTGCGACTTTTAACAACATGGCAAAGCACGCTTTCACTAGATGATAAACTCTTTGCTAAAGGATTCACTTTCATGAATCCGACGTATTTAAGTAAGTGCATCTCTTAATGAAAGGGGCATATCATCTAATGTTCCGTCGCATTCAATTCATAGGCGACTATGCATTCTTTCGCGTTCATGGGTCACCCACAAGCTCATCTTTGCGCAGCTTTTCAAAAAACTTCATGCTCTTCTTCTTACTCGTCTTGGCACGTACGGCTTTAAGGGTACGAACGCCACTCATTTGCACGGAACCACGATCTTCAATACGTTAAAGACATTAATATATGATAGTTGTTACTTGCGTACGAGTGACCACGTATCTACGATACCATAAATATGATAACAGGGCTAATCAATTATGTGATGGCCATCAGATAGTCTAAATTTTGTATATCTATAAACACCATGTTGAATGGAGGCCATGTTGTAAAATATTAGTAGCAAATAGTATAGTGCAGGTACGAATCTATTTACATAATTTTTAAATAAGATGTGCTTCAAATATTAATATAAATGAAATAGATAATGTATGAATTAATTCCCTAGTTACCTTAAAGTCTATATAATAGGATAAATCATATAATGAAACCTCACACAAGTACTCGGCGTAAATATTATTTTCCACAATCAGTCTGTACCAGTTTTATGGATCATCATCTGGAAGCTTGCCTTCCAACACTCCTCCTCGTCGACACTGTCCTTGACATAACACTTGATCCTTGCTCTGTCATCGTCGACATTCAATCGATTTAATTTAAATCGATCACTTGGCGCAATTCATCTAATCTTGGTGCAGACAATGCCTTGGTTAGTATGTTCGCTGGCATACTTCCGGTCTCTCGATATTCCGGTTTGATAATATCACGCTTGGTGAAATCACCGACAAACTTGATGCGCACATCAATATGTTTGGCCTTGGCCGAGGCCCTTTCACCGTCGAGTTGCTTTAAAGCCGCTAGATTATCCACTCGCAGTGGCATCGGCTCTTCGAACTTTAAATTAATTCTTGTAACAATTCACGAACCCCCAAAAGTTCTCGAGCCATAAGCGACGCAGCCGTAAATTCAGCTTCCACAGTCGAGAGCGAAACTCCACCTTGTTTCTTACACATCCAGCTCACCGGCATATTATCGACAGTTATTAGACCACCTGTAACTGATTTTCTGTCACAATTGTCTGCAGCAAAATCCGCATCGCTGTATCCAACAACTTGCAAAACATTTGAATCATCTCCATTTCCAACCATAGAGAGGCGCAACTTTTTCGTGCCGGACAGATACATGGCAATTTTTTAGCCAACTTCCAATCTCCCTTGTTGGCTGATGCGTCCTCTGAGATGCCTTATGCACCGCAAAAGCAATATCGGGTCTGGTGCAACGTGAAATTCATAGTAAACTTCCAACAATTGACTGGAATTTTTTCACCGTGACTCCATCTCCTCCAGAAACCGGTAATAATTGCAGCATAGCATTTTAAGTATCGTTCCAGTCCGAGGTAATTGGTACACGTACACTATGTGCCATTTCGAGACCGTGCTCCTTCAGCATTTTAAGAATTCCGACCTCTAGATCAAAATTGTACCCCTTTTCTTCCTCGTATTGGATGCGCATACCCAAAAACTTACGAGCAGGTATACATCCTTTACCGACAACGATATTAGCTCGCCAAAAAAATTGTCCATGGCACGTTGATCCATTCCTGTGACTATAAGGTCATCCACGTAAACTCCAAAAACTAAAATGCGTTGTTTTTTTCCATCTGAAATAGACACACAAGTCCGTAAGACTTTGGTTAAAACCAATGTCAACCAACTTCTGGTGCAACAATTTGCTCCATAGTCTTCCTGCTTGTTTTATCCTATAGAGCGCTTTCTTTAGCTCTAAAACCAATTCATTGTTCCTTGAGACACCAAGCTTGTTCTTTACCTCCTCCGATACGATCATTCCTTGCGGAATTCGAATGTAAATGTTCAAATTGGCTTCCTTGTCGCTTTCACGTAAGCGTTAGGTACGTCTCCATGTTTCGCAGGAATTTTCCATTTTCTAGCCAGAGCTAAAATCATTTTCACGCTGGACATATCAATTACTGCCGCGAAAGTAATTCCATAATTGACGCCAAGAACTTGCTCGTTTCCACATGCAACAAGTCGCGCATTCAAGCGCTCGATACCACCTTCAGCCTCACGCTTGGTGTTAGAAACCCATTTTGAATTTAGAGCTCGAACATTCTTTTGAACGCGAACAATATTCCAAACACCGTTGTTTTCTAGAACTGTCAGCTCTTCCGCAATCGCTTTAGACCAGCCCGTTTTTTTTGAATTACGCATAGCTTCTCCAAAATTCTGTGGATCACTAACAGAAACGACTTGATTGACAACATCATCGTCGACACTGTGCTCGGCCGAAATTTGTCGTGAGTCCGAATTTTTTTCTGCTCGTAGACCGTTTCACAACCTTTTTCTTTCGTGTCCACTGAGCATGTTTCTTCGACTTCGCTTTTTTGGAATGACGACTCGTCGTCTCCTCCGTCGTTTGCGATTCGAGTATATCGCCATCGTGGTCATTTTCTCGTGCAAACTTTTCGTCCACCAGACCAGAGTTCTTCTGCAAATACAACTTTTGCACTTGCTTGTTTTGAGTCGTGTTCAGCGTCTCAATGTTTTTCACATGCTGAGTAACGACAACCAAGCTATCTTTGGGCAGGTAAACATGATACCCTTTGGTTTCTTCGCCGATTCCAACAATAAGCACTTTTTGACCACGCTGAGAGAAATTCTGTTTCCTTGGGTCTCGGTAAACCATGCATTTTGAGCCAAAAACAACAATTTCACCGAGTGACGGGGTTTGCTGTGTCAGCACCTTGAGCGGTGATGCCCTCCCCGAATTCGCGCTTGTTGGAGCACGATTTAATATGTACGCAGCATATTCTACCGCATCACCTCAAAAATTCAGCGGCAAACCAGAAGCAAATATCATGCAACGAGCCATGTTCATGATTGTCCTATGCATTCTTTCAGCTTTTCCATTGCTTGCTTGATTTCTTGCTTCACTGCGCTGCCTCGATACGCCCGTCTCCTTGCAAAAGAGATCTAAATTTTGATATTCCCCTCCAGAGTCCGTGCGAAGTACATGCACCCGAGCATTGAATTTCTTTTCCAAAAAAATTAAAAAATGCTAAGATTTTTTGGACGCAGTATGGTTCGTGCAAGAAACACACGACAATAAATACTTTTGTGATCGACAAAATTAATCATGAAACGATTATTCAATCGATCTTTTGGAGTCATCGGACCCTTAATGTCCGAGCAGATGACTCCTCCAATTCGATCGATGGGTGAGTGACCACCACTATCCTTGTTAGACTGACGGTTTTTAGTCTGTTTTCCTTGAGCACAAGGCAGACAATTGATTCGGCACTTGTCCGTTAGACAAATATCAGAGGATGGATCGCGAGCCACCCTCTCAATGGTATCATAGCTTAAGTGTCCGAGACGCTTGTGAAATTCTATCAAAGTACCCTTTTGAACATCATCAGACACCTGGCACTGCCGGCTCGCTTTCCCATTCAATATTGGCATGATAGCACCAAAAGGTTTCATAATACTTTTCTCCACGCGACAAGAAACCACCAAAACATTTCAAATTAATTCTTCGTCAAAAGCAACTTGACCAGAATTCCTATCTGCTAGCACGCGTTGAGCACCATAGTATCCAAGTGAGTAGCCCTTTTTATTTAAGTTTCCATACGGAATCAAGTTGCACTTAACGCTTTCGGCAAAGTAAACTTCTTTAAGTGTCAGCACTCTTTCAATACCACCCGCCATAACCATCATTGTCACCGAACCCTTTTGGACATATTTAGTGGCATACCATCGGGTTAAAGACATGTTCCTTGACAAGATTCGACATTATCAAGCCATGATTCATCACCGACTAAATGTCTGCTGGACCCACTGTCTAGGATCCAAACATCTTTAAATTTATCTGACAAGTCATTGACGGCCAGTGACAAATTTGATGATACTTGGGGCAAGAATTTTCGTTCGGGACACGCGGTTTGTAAATGCCCAACCTCATTACAAGAGTGACATCGGCGCATCTCCTTTCCACGTCGTTCCGAAACGGACCCAACAATTTCTTGTCCAAGAGTCTTCTCCCTTCCCACGTTAAACTCGTATGCCTGAGCAAATTGAGTTAGCTCTTCGGCTTTCACCAGGTAATCACTTCTAGTAGGATCAACTTTCGCAAAAAGAACGGTTCGCATTCCTGAAGAAGCGTACTGATTAATATTGTCCAAAACCAAATAGTCTCCACCATTTCCGGTAACCTCAGCGATGGCCGTCAGATACATATAACGCTCGGGCCAACTTCGTTTGGGATCCTTCGGCTGGGTAAACAATCGCATTGCTTGGGCCGGCGTGATACTGGTCTTGAACGCCTCCAACAATTTTTCCATGACGTACTGTAAGGTGGGTAATTGGCTCCACCACAACGCAACCTGTCTTTTGTAATACCTCTCTGCAGTACCAGAGAGGTATAAACCAAGTAAATCAACTTTAACATCCTACGGCCACAGAAAACCACAAGACGATTGTGCCAATGAAATTTGGCGCTTAAATCTTCGACCCCATTCCAAAAAACCAAACCCGAGGCCTTTAATAAGTTTTCGATCATCAAAAAATCGAATTCCGAGTTTCTTCTGCCTTGCATCTGGGTATCTGACTTGAAATTGGTGCTGTTGTGCTTGTTCATTTAAGCACTGATCTTGTCCTTGCATATGTCCACGCGCACCTATTTCAGGCGGCATACCGTGAACAGCTTGACCTTGGGCAATATGAAACTCATTCCCTTGCCGTGGTCCTCCATATCCAGCCTGTTCATATATAAAATATCTTGGCGGTTCCACCGGTCTCCTCAAAGTCGTAACCAGCGTACGGGGCGACCCATCCAAGCTATCCATATGCATCCTTGTTCCCTTTCCAAGGGCCGGTGCAAACAAACTTGAGTTAATGGGTGGAGTCATGGGTGTATCATATTTCTTCCACGCCCATCGTTTTCTTCCACTAGCTTCGCCTGTGACTCCTCGATCCTGTCCAGACGCCCAGCTATCCCTCTCATGAGGACCAAAAGCTCTGACACATCATCACTCCTGTTGTTGGTAACGCCCACCGCATGGACGTTACCGGGGTTGCTCTTCTCCTCTAGATCTTCGACTCTACCGACCCCTCCGTGACCGGTGGCGGGAGCTTCTTGCGCATGCACGCCGTCGCGTGCAGTGCCTGCGTGTGGTGTCTCCATTGGGCTCATAACCTGTTAAAAGTTGAGCAAAAAGGACAACAATAGCACACACAATTTAGATGCAAAAGAGAGAGTGATATTTGTTTCTTTATTCTCCTAGCTAGCTTAAAGTCTATATAATAGGATAAATCATATAATGAAACCTCACACAGGTGTTTGGCGTAAATATGATTATCCACAATCAGTCTGAATCAGTTTCATATATCATCATCTTGAAGCTTGCCTTCCAACATGCTCACTATTCACGAATACCAAACTAAAGCGTCCTAGAATACTGCTGAAAAAAGGAGTGATAAATGCGATAAAAGCAGCCTCATTCGTGATAGCCTTGGCTAAAATCTGAATTTCCTTCGACCAAAATGCTTTTCCGTCCTCAACTGGTGCAAAATCGATGATCTGTTTATAATCATTCAATCTTTCAAGCTCAAGTTGACCAAGTGCCTCACTCGAGAAGGTCTTTGACGGTTTTTGTGGCAAGCAGGCCATGGTTTGCTCAAGAAGCGTCTCAAGTCGCGATTCGCGAGTTCTGGCTTCTCGCATACGTACTGAATCATGGTACAACCATTTTTTTCTGCTCTGGAACCACAACCAGCACGTGAATTTGTTCTGGCAATGGCTGCGACATCGTGTTATCATCAAACAGCCAACGCTGTAAAGTCCTCGTTGCCATCACTTGCTCTCCACCAATCATCTGCTGAGTAACTGGATGTATCTCCCCTTTATATAAATTTTGCGCTGCAGCATCATCATCTTTTAGCCACTTGTCGTCCGTTCCCTTTGCCAGAAAGAGCTGCAGCTGGTCCGCATCAAAGTTCTGTAGGGCGTTCGCCATCTCAGCCTTAATGGCCATTTTCAAGTCCCCCACACTCTCTGCCACATCGATCTCCACAGGAAAAGCACTTCCCCTTACACCAACGATGACGCAGAACAGCTTTGCCATGATCTTGAGCCAGAATATTTTTTCTGTTCGCTAATGAATATGATTGGTTTTATATACGACTATACTTGGGCCAAGACGTGAGACCAAAATAATATCGATGCCGCTGAGCGAACGACTTACACGGGTAAGAGTTCTTCTAATCAGCAATGCCCTGGAGCTGTACTGTTTTGTAGTGCCGTGCGCCTTACTGAAATTTGTTATTATACGATGTCATAAAACAAGTTGTACTTTTGCCGGTCGCTGGACCTCCAGGACATTGACGTAATTTTTATCCTTTAGTGACGTAGAAATGTCGAGTATATTTAGAAAAAACTAACACGAAAGTTCAAGAAATACTCAGAACTTTCATGGCGATTTGTTTCATTGCAGTTTACCACGTAAGCGAGAACATTCCGAACGGAGACGCAAAAATGTTGAGACGGCGTCGCCGGCAAGCCTGCTATCTACGTTTATGCCTAGTAAAGCCGTTTCTGTTGTAGATTTTTGCTGCAGGTTGTATTGGAAGATGGTTTCTGGACTGTCACAGTGCTATATAGACAGTTGCAAATGGCATATACGTGTCTTGCATGTTTATTTTCAACACTTGGCAAAGAACAAGAAAACGTAATGCACAAAACTGGATTATTACTACTTTAGACGGACACTTCGTAATGAAGCTGCCAAGTACTACGCGAGCACACACCTTCTAGCAGCGCGAGGAAGAGGTGATGCCATCTTACCTCCGCGTGCGGTGGTGGTGGTGTTGGTCGGCGCTAAGAAGCGCTGTACCAACCGTGTCCGGTAGCTTTGAAGCGAACCGCGCAACGAACTGCTAATACAAGAGCTACACTTACGACACGTAGAAGCTTATGCAGATTCTCGTGCGCAGTGTGCGATGTTCAGTAGATTCAAGACTGATTTATATGTAATAGAATTTAACGAAATATAAACTTAACTACTGATTGGTAATTATACAAAGATTGGATACGCGTCTCTTTAGAAACGTATCCTTACGTGGGAGCTTAAAATATATAATTAAGCTCGTTGATGACGTCTGTTTGAGGCGTCACCATGACGCCCATTCCCAACTGGCGTCATCCTCGTTGAATGTGAATCTACCCATGGATATCACATTCACGAGGGTGGGTCACATTGATGTGTCACACCCAAGTGGCAGGCCTAAGGTACCTCGTACCCATTTAGTCCTGCCCGTTAAGCACTCGATACTTAACGAACCGTGTAACTTTGGCCTGTTACACCATCTCCCTCTTTAAGACGATTTTTACAATTTGTAAAACATCGAATAAAGAAACGATGCCACCGAAACGTGGAAAGGCTGATGGGTTGCCTGTAAAGGCACCCATGCAGACCAACACCAAGCGCACGCGCCGCGATAGTCGCAGCCGTCACGAAGTTTCTCTGTGGCAACGCCGACATCTAATGTCAGCTTTCCAGCAGAGAGCAATGGTCCATCCCATTATGGTGCGGATGAAGACTTGTCTTTCATTGTTGACTACAATGAGTGTACACCATTGCCATCACCCTAAAGTGGAGATGAGTAAAGCGTTTTATTGGGACATTTGTCCCCACCATTTGAGACACCCAACCTTCAGGAAGCTTCCATGCTTCCAAACAGCGAGGGTTATGCCTCGTCGTCCGCGCTAACGAGCGCAGCGACCACAATTGATCGCGCTGCTTCGATAGAAACAGCCGCGGCTCAACAGAAGGTCGGTAATTTTTAAATCGTCCGCCTCTGTTAACCCTAGATCTGATGTCTTGACAATCCACAATGGGGAGTCAGACTCAAGAGGTGAGCACAAAGCCCCTTTGACTTCAAAGTCGGCCTCACTAGCACGCCGTCACGAGGGCGGCTACGTGAGTGGTGGATTGTCACGAATGCCACCACCATCCGAGTGGTCACGCTCGAGTGGTAACAGTGCGACGCTTTTTAAGGCGTGCGACTATTGACGCTAATAAACTTTTTAGCGTCTTTCCAGTATGGAAACTGCAGGGCAAAGCACTAGGATGTGCTTTCTCTATCCCCGTCGTGTTGCGTTTTAGCGAAACAAACTACGAATACGAAGCAGAGTTCCTGCACCGTGTTAGGCCGCATGCAGATGCAGTGAAACAGTGTTCGCAGCGAATTAGCTTCGCTATGACGCGTGCGAGGGAAATATTGGGTGGTAACATACCCCTAGCTCCTTCTCGTCACGCCGCCCCTACTAGTCCATCAGAAATCGGCAGAGCGAGTTCAGCTGGTTCTTCTACTCATAAGCAGACACCAGCCCAGGCACGTCGATACGCAACGTGTCGATCGTTCCCAAGAGTCGAAACTCCTCGTACATCCACTCCACTGAAAAAGGATTTGAAGCTTTTGCTTCACATAGCGGCGTTCAAACAACCTTTCAACAAGGAAACGTGTGTTCCCACCCGCATCCACCAACACAGGTGGCGCCCGATAGGAGTGGCGATTACGCCCAACTTTGTGCGGATGCCTATCCTGTTGTCGTTCAGTCGCGAGCGGAGATCGCTGCGCTGAAGAAACAGGTGACTGATCTCGAGAGTCAAGTCTCACGACTGACTTCGGATCTACGCTCTGTGAATACGAGGGATCGTCAGGGGTATGACCGCCTGAAGTCCTGTTTGGACATACACGAGCGTCTGGTGATGAGAGACCCGCATTCAACGCGAAGTCCTCCTCGATCACCGAGTCCTCTGTCGTCGGTCTCGTATGCGGAAGTGGGTCACCTATCCCGTGGCCTAATCGGAAACGACGCTCGACTCACAGTCGACGTGTGGTGGAGTGGGATTCGCAAAATTGCTGATGCGATTCCAACTCTCCACTGGCGCCCGGACGACCGACTAACGGAGGGGGTACCCCGATTCCGTGTGTATAGCCTTCCCCACCTTGTGTACCCGTCGGTAGAGCGGGTTGATCTCTTCTCGGTGGACTTGAGTCGATGTTGATCCTAATTGGGTTAGGGATAGGGGGTTTGGTTATCTTGTGAAAATCTTCACAAGATAAACCGAGTACTTGTTTGTTGATTGTACCAATAGATCTTAATAGTCCAACAAGGCGAAGCTTGAATCTTCTGACCACTTGAGCAGAACCTTCTGATCACTTGATCCGTCCTGCACTTGCTTCGCCTTGCCCTACGTGTTTTATCTGCGTCCGATCGCAGTTGAGTTTTGTTGAAAGTTCTTGCAATCCCTTTCCAAACAATCAGGGATATGACTTGCGTAGTGTGTAGGCTTCCTCGAGACGTCGGGTGGCCAAAGAATTCAGCCCGGAAGAGAAGTAGACACGTGTATTAGAAGTAAAATTGAACTCTATTTAGTGCTAACCAATCAACGATCGAAACCTACGATTTTGCCTATCTGTAGTCCAGGATCTATCACCACGTGTCATCTTATCAGGAAAAATCAGATCTCGATATGTGGTCCACCTTAAATGCCTTCGTCATCCCGATCCATCGGCGATCTTACCTTATCCTTGGATCGCGATCTGAATCAGATCGCGTATCAGTTCAGGATCGCGGTTCTGAGTCGGATCGCGTTTTACCTTGGATCGCGCTCAGCCTTGGATCGCGTTTTACCTTGGATCGCGCTCAGCCTTGGATCGCGTTTACCTTGGATCGAGGTAAAGTCGGATTGCGAATTCTGAGTCGGATCGCGCTCTACCTTGGATCGCGATCCTGAGTTGGATCGCGCTCTACCTTGGATCGAGGTAAAGTCGGATTGCGAATTCTGAGTCGGATCGCGCTCTACCTTGGATCGCGATCCTGAGTTGGATCGCGCTCTACCTTGGATCGAGGTAAAGTCGGATCGCGCTTTACCTTGGATCGCGCTCAGCCTTGGATCGCGTTTTACCTTGGATCGAGGTAAAGTCGGATTGCGAATTCTGAGTCGGATCGCGCTCTACCTTGGATCGCGATCCTGAGTTGGATCGCGCTCTACCTTGGATCGAGTTAAAGTCGGATCGCGCTTTACCTTGGATCGCGCTCAGCCTTGGATCGCGCTTTACCTTGGATCGCGCTCTACCTTGTATCGCGGTCATGAGTTGGATCGCGGTTCTGAGTCGGATCGAGTAATTCAAGTTGGATCGCGTTTTCTGCACAATGTTTCGGTATCGATCCTTGATGTGTGATCCGCATAACTTGGATCGCGATCTACAATTTATGAAAATTGTTTACTCGCTCCTCTACAGTAAAATATTTGAATCACGGATCGCGGATCCACCTGAACACTAAGGTTGCAGTGCGATCCAGAATTGGATCGCGGTGCTATTTAAACTAGATAGCGATACGATATATATCTCGGATCATGATTTGTCCATTACAATTAATTGAGGCCTCGATCCACACTTTAAGAATTTCCACTATTCCACATTCAAATAAAATCCGTACAATTTCAATACATCCAGTTGGATCAACCGATACTGGATTCAAGTATATCCAAGCGGTGATCTATTCCATGATAATCCATTATAACCTGAAAATGTGATCCATGCTACGATCAACGGTATTTTTCCATTCGATCATCCATGAATCAAGATCCATTCCACCACACCCACCCAATAAGTCATTTTTATAAGTGGCTTCGTGGTAGATAGGGAGCCTACCGTTATGGGAAAGGTTTCCAACCGTTAGCGGGACAGAGGTCCAACCGTTATGGGAAAGGTATCCAACCGTTGGCGAGTAAAGTCCCGATAATTCGGCTCCGGATTTATCGAGCAAATTGTTACATGGACTTAGCCAAAATTTCTAATCGACTTTACCACAGACTTCACCATCAGTCTCGTTATACTGATGCGGATATGTGATCTCTTCTGGATCAACATATCGTTTCAGACGACTCACCTAAAATACGGGATGCGTCTTCATATACGGTGGGAGAGTGAGCCTATAATTTAGGTCTTGAACCCCCTCGACCACCGTAAATGGCCCAATGAATCGGGACAATAGCTTAGTAGTACCACCAGGTAGTACATAAATTGAATGTTTAGGTAGGGTAGCAGTACT